AGTGTTTGAGTAGTTTTTGAGGTCAAGGCTTCTTTGTTCATCTTTTTTCTGACAAAATATTTTGGAATTTTTTAACAGCTGTGCATGGCTTGCTATTGTTCATTTAGGTACATTTTTATTGTGTGGCCTTTTTAAAAAGCTCTTTAAAACAATTGTTACTTTACCCGGTTGCTGATATAGTCGTCGTTGGTAGCCGTGCTCTGCAGTGCCATTGTCACTCTTTCCCTCAGTCTTCCTGAGGAAGTTAGAAGTGAGCTAAATGTACCTGATTCCAAATCAGCCTTTAATCCCCCACTGCAGTATAATGCTCAGTGAAGTTTGATAGGAGGTAAAATTAATGACAGGGTCGGAATATAGAGCGAGTTTATAGGAGAGGTTCGTTCAGCGTCCCCACCGAGTCCAGAGTGTTATTAGACCTACATAAACAGATCACAGGGGTTTAATGTAGTTCATGGCTCATTAAAACACAATATCATCACCATAGGACAGTTTTAGAGAGCAGTACTCTTGCAAAATATGCAGCACAATGATGGTGGCTGATTTTAGTTAGCATAAAATTGAATTGAGTGTGTATATAACGGCTAGTGTTAAGTGAGTGTGTGTATGTTGTGTGCTGCCTTTCCTGCAGGAGGAACTTGTGTGCCTGTGTTTTGTAAGAGAAGGGAAATCATAAAATTTGGAGAACGTTAAATGTGCCCCCTGCACCGCTCTGCACCTGGTACATGTAATTACACTTCTAGATCCCTGCAAATACACCACACACTCCGCACTGAGGGCTACATATGCGCTGTTTCCTCTTGACCAACATACAGGGCCACCAAACTACTGAATTCTAAAGAAAACTACTTTTCAGCTGCAGCAGTATGTCTTTCAAAATTGCTATTCAGTAATAAATAATTCAACATTCAACAACTGTTGAAGACATTAGTTTATTAGTGGCCTGGTTTCAGTGAAGATTTTCAGTCCCATTTATCAAGGATTTTCCCTAAATATGTGACGATAACATGTTGACATGTTGTGACACTCTGTGTTAGTATTCAGATGTTGAGAATCTTTAAAAAGGAACATAAAATCCTAGCTTGAAATGAGTGACCCCTTTAAATAGCCAGGCTTAGTTCAGACTTTTATTACACTTCGGTAACCTAAAGGGCTCATATCGTACATTTCTCTTACATTTTGTATGTACCCCTTGAGGTTGCACTTATAATGTTAGTGGTGTTTTATGTACTAAAAATCTCAATTCATTTGTTCATGACCTTTTTAAATCCTCTCTTAATCCCTTAAAACACACAGGCTATTTTTGTTACTGTGCCTTTAAGACTGATGTACGTTAATGAGTTTTGATTGGCTGCTCTGTATGGCCTCATTTAAAAAAGCCTCCAGACTGGAACCTCTTTCTACACTTCCTATAACCTCAGTGTGAGAGGGTGGAGCTAAACTGCTGTAGGCTTAATAGGTGTATGTGTGTAATTGTGACATCACAGAAACAGTAAATTCTAAACAGGCCAGGCAGCCTAATTTCTGTATATGTACTGTGTGGAAGGGGAAGTGAAGTTTTTAAATTTTTACCAATGTTTAGATATTACATCAAACAAATAGAAGATGCAAAGGAACTATTTTAGTTTTAAAAAATAAATTACATTCATTAATTACTAAAACCTTTATAATAATCCACATAATATTTCAGTTGTTTTTGAATGGGTTTGAAGTTATTTCTGCGTATGTGTACATCACATTATTGTTTTATAGTAACCCCTTATATATATATATATATATATATATATATATATATATATATATACATATATATATATACATATATATACACATATATATATATATATATATATATATATATATATATATAGAGTGAGAGAGAGAGAGAGAGAGAGAGATTGGTTTATTTTATTTTTTATTTGATTTTATTCAGCTATTTTACTCAGCAGTTTAGCTCAAGCAATTTAATAAACGTGGTTACATTTTATTATAAAAAAAAGAAGAAATGGAAAGTAATTTGAATAATGACTTTGATTGATATATGTGAAACTTTTTTGGGTGTGTGAAATTATTATACAACATATAAAAAAATTTCAGGTTTCATTTGATTTCACTTGTTGCTTTACATATTATAACTGGTACACTATTTAAAAAATGTTAAATGTCAATGTAAGTTAATGGAACATAAATAATCAACTCATTATTTGAAGTTCAAATGACTCAAAATTTCAAGGCAGTCTGGACGATAACTTTAAAAATCCCAAAATGTTTTTAACAGTCTAGTTTGACTTGCACTTAAAGTGTAGCATGAACTTAATTGACAAAGAACTCAGGACGCTGGACTTAACTCAGATAGACCTCTTTCATTCACATGCTCACTGTTAAGGAACGACACTGCTTAAGCTCTGCAGAATTAACCAGGCTTATTACGTCCTAGGGAACTTATTTCATAATTACGTGGAAACTATGTGTAACTGTATCACTGTGAGGATTGGAAGCCTGGACCCCTTATAGGTGTGAAAAATAGAAGCCTGGACCCGTCAGCAGCTCCTGGCTATTTAAGCTGTTAAACAGAGCGTAATTAAGTGTTCTTACTCATAAGCAATCACTTGTACTCTGTGGTTGAATTGTAAAACAAGTTCAGGTGAGATGGTGGGTTAAAACAATGGAGGATAAACAAATATGGTCCAGGACCTTTCCTAATACTACAAAACTGGACTTTTCACTTCTGTAAGAATTTGCATAATAACATAAATCCTAAGGAGATGGAAGTGTGAGATGGGACTTCTACAAGGGGGGGCAATTTTATCTTTTTTGGCAGGGGAGGTGGCATCCCCCTACGCCCCCCACCTAAAATTGAGCCCTGCTCAGGTCTCCAAACCAAATAATTAAAGTGAAACCTTGATGAAGACCACCTGAGTGGGACCACCTGAGAGACAGACATCTGTCTGTGTGTGTGTGTGTGACTCTTGGAATTACAAGGTGAGAAAATCTTAATTGCTTCAGTGCAGTGGTTCAAAAGAATGCTCTGTGAATGATAATCTTGAGCTCAGTTAAAACAATCAGTGGTATTTTTGTTGAATACGTCTGATTAAAAAAATGGACAGCTGTTTTGTTTTGTAACCCAGCTGAGTATTTTCTATTGAATTTAGAGGTGCAGGCAAATCGGAGGTGCATGAAATGATAATATGTGTTGGGATATAGTGTAAAATAAGTAAGACTAATAAAGTTAATGTATAGCATGGAGAGTAATGAACATGGTGGAACATTCTGAACATGGCAGAGTGATTCAGACTGCTTCGAGTAATACCTCACCCCAACATATGGGATCCATTATACACTCTGCCTATTATACACAAATAGAAACTGACACACACACAATACAAACCATTCGTACATTCACTCAGGGAGCCTCTTGGTCTGTTTTTCACTTCTTTTCTCTCCTTTTGTGGCATTTTCTGAACTAAATATAAATATATGTAAAATGTGTCTGATTTCCACTCTACACTTTCCAGCCACTGTGATAACCATCTGTGATGCAATGAATTTACAAGTTTTAAATGTGATATTACATCAACACAGTTTTGTCTTTTGGTTACATTTTCAAATAATTGTGTTGATGTATTTTATTCAGGTGGAAATTATGTACACATTCGGCTCAAGAACATTCATTGCATGACTTTTTCAGTGAGCCTGTGCTGTCTGCCTTTTGGATACCCACACACATATAAAGTACTGTGCAAAAGTCAGAGAACCTTCATTTACTTACTATCCAGTCAAAAGAGCCGCTATGTTTGTTATTCATAGAAAAAGCAGAAAACATACATTTAAGAAAAATGTGTGTTTTATTAGAGAAAATTAAATAAAACAGCTAAACATATAGTATTAAATGTATCCAGCCTTTTGCCAGTCAGTTTTTCAAAGAAATCTGCGGGGTTATTCTTCCACAGCTCCAAAGTTCAGTCTTAGAAGCTGGTTGTGTTTTCTGCTTTTCACGAGCCGAGTAATGTCAAACACATTCAGTGGTGTTGAGGTCTGGTCACTGGGGTGGTCAGTTCATTGTTCTGAGAACACCAGCAGCTTCTTTGTTTCATTTGTGAATGTTCTTTTTTATAAAGCTTCTTGACAGCTAGAAATCCTTTCAGACACATAGTGTTGAGTTGTCTTCTCACAGTGGAATGATGGACAGAAACACCTGTGGATTTTTTCAGATCTGAAACAACAGTGGAGCTTGATTTTCTCCTCTCTCTCTCAAAGATCTCAAAGAAGTACTGTTTATCTGATGATGACAGTTTTGGTGGTCTACCAAGTCTTGCATGGTAGTTAGGCGTCACATTTTCTCTGTATCTTTAATATTTTTTTGAGATCCAGTTTTGGAAACTCTTGTTTGTTGTCTAACATTTTTATTTGACATTCCGTTCTTTATGCAAGGGGTGTATCTTAGATCTATCCTCCTTACAAATAACTTCCAAAAACATGCATAGCTTGTAATTAATTAAATAGCTGAGGGTAGTCTCTAAGTTCTAATCAGCACTGTACACACAAAGATACATAAAGTGTGGAGCACTGCAGAATTATGAATTTGATATGAACTTCCACAGGCTGCCACGTGAGGGCAATCACAGCACACAAATTGTACTGAGAGAAACAAATGGAAGCGCACATACACACACACACACACACACACACACTTTTACTTGGCTGAGGATCTTTTGAAGTTTTGCCTGGTTTGCCTCAGGCAGTGGAAGCTGCCTGCTGTCTCAAGCAGTGTGGAAAAAGTGCGTGAGATTGTGTGTGTGTGTGTGTTTGTGTGATGAGGGGGGCACACTTCTGTGACTAAACTTACAGTAAGATCTGTCTAAGCAGATTAGTTTTTAAAGAAACAGTTCATTTTTTCATACTTTAATGTGGCATATTTCTGTGTGTATTATTAAATTCTATTGTCGCGTCAGTAAATGGATCTTTTCTGAATTCTTTCTTCTCCTCTGTCCTCATTTTGGCAGACACAGACCCAAGGGTGCTGGAGAAACAGGAGCTGCAGCAGCCCACGTATGTTGCCCTGAGCTACATTAACAGGTGAGTGAGTGCATATGTATACAAGTTAATGATTATGTGTTCACGTTTTTCTCTTTGAAGAAAGTATGACGTGTACACAGTGATTAGGAAGAGAGTGTTTATAAACCTTACAGGAGTGGTTCTGTTTGAAATGCTAATGTAAGTAGCAGTGGATAATAGCTGATAGCTGGTATTAACAGGCTTGTATTCATTACTAGCAGGGGTGTAAATGAATATTTCAAATTTATGATTACATTATTGTGGTGTAATTCACAATAATTAAAAGTACACTGAATACACTAATGTGACTGTAGAAACTGTTTACACTGCTTTTTAGGTTTGAAAATAGAATTTTATTTTGTCCATAAAATGAGTGCCTACGTGTAATTATTAAGTAATTACGTGCAATTATTCCCGTATGAAAAGGAAATATTTTTCCATATTCTTTTCAAAATAATTGTCAAATTTGTAATGTATCTCCATATATGGTCAACGTATGTGGAAATACATTAAACAATATGTGGAAATGGAAACTGTCACATGTTCCTTTCACGTATGTGCATATATTTCAATATATTGACATATGTGTACATATAGTGGGATATTTCTAAGCCTTCAAAAATTGCTCAGTTATATTTGGCACATATATTTTAAACATCACAAATTGCACATATATTGTGGATATATGTTTTAATATGAGCAAATATATGTACATATATTAGTAACCTTAGCATTTTGCAATGTGGGTGAAAAATTCCTTTAAGGAGACCAGACCCATATATGTGAGTGTGACTGCTGAACAGCTGAAGAGCTGCTAGCTGGCCCCATGAACAAACTACTCCCAAAGCCGTCAACATATGCATGAAATATCACCAAAATGTTTACACAAAGCAGACTGATTTATATCCACATAATATGCCATTAGTCAAAATATCCATCATGCATTAGAATAAAGACACACTAGTCCAAGACCAATTAAAACAGTTCACAATTAAAACAATTCAATTAAAACAGCCATTGAATACAAGTTATTCATATTTCTGAGGAAATTAAATGTAAGGTAATCCACTTACATAAGGAAGGAGAAAGTCAAAAGAAAATAAGGGAAAAAAAACAGGAGTTTCCAAAACTGGAGTTCCAAAAGTTTTTTTTCCAAACATCTTTTGCCAAAAGTTTGGGTAATAATCTCTTGAGAACTTGTAAACACTTTTTTTGTAACAGTTAACACAAATTTCATTAAAAAACTAGCCTTATGTTGTCATGGAGAAAGCTCTGCCCCTCAAAACTTCACTTACTGTAATTAAACACAGATAACAAACACTTTTAACAAAGGCCTTACTGCTTTGTTGATTTTCATTAGTGTTTTGTTGATAATCATTAGTGTTTATGTATTTGATATACTTGAGTGAGTTTTAAAAGCAGTGTTTCATTATGAGCAGAGTTAAAATGCTTTTGCCAGAAAAAGATGCATTTTGGTGAATGTAGTTCGATTTTTGGAAAGATTTGACGTGTTAAAAATTAGATGATTTCAAACAGTGTGTTTTAACAGTTGTGAAAAACTGCAGAGGATACAGAGAAATACAGGATACAGGATAAGAACTGTAAAAGACCTGGTCGACCACCAAAACTGTCTCAGATAAACAGTACTTCAAGTTTTCATCTTAGAGAGAGAGGAGAAAATCAAGCTTCACTCTTGCTCCATATATGAAAAAATCCACATCCTTCCACTGTAAGAAGACAACTCAACACTATGAGTCTGATGTGTAGCTGACAAGAACCACACTGAGAAAAGGAAATAGATAAAGCTGAAATAGATAAAGCTGTTCCCAGAACAATGGACTGACCACCCCAGAGTCCAGACCTCAAAATCACTGATGTGTTTGGATTACTTGTGAGAAGCAGAAAATGCAGTAAACTTCTAAGACTGAACTTTGGAGGTGTGGAAAATATCCCTGCAGATTTCTTTGAAAACCTGAAAGCAAGCCTTTTTGGTGGTATATAGGACTCTTTTCAGAAAGGTTCTATATAAAACCATTTACAGCATATTGTCCATCAATCCAATTTTCATCATGCAAAGAACACTTTAATCATGCAAAAGGTTCTTTGAGTGTTCATGGTTCTATATAGAACCATTTTCTTTACTAAAGAACCCTTGAAGAACCCTGTTTTTTAAGAGTGTGTATATTATGTAAGACAGTATAGGTAGTACATAGTGATGAATTTATTTTCTAAAGCTGTATGTTTATTTTTTGTATGTTTCTATGTGTGTGTGTGTTTGTGTGTGTGTGTAGATTTATGACTGAAGCAGCTCGCAGGGAGCAGGAGAATCAGAAGAAGAAAGTCCAGCCTAAACTTGCACTGTCAGTCACTGGAGGCGTGTCCCGAAACAACACTTCAACCCCTCCTCGTCATAGCAACGGCAGTCTTACTCCGCCTGTGACCCCGCCCATCACCCCATCATCCTCATTCCGCAGCAGCACACCCACAGGTAACAGCAATGTGTGCGTTCTTACTTATACATATAGTGGGGTCCAAAAGTCTTAGACTACTGATGAAAATGCATCTATTTTGCATTCTTTTCTAATTTAATACAAAGATTTTCATTACAAATTATACTATTATAGCAAACACGTTATGGTGAAAAGTAGAAACTTTGAAATTTTAACATGAATTTCAGAATTTCTTGATATTCACGTCCCTCTTTTGCTGAGAAAGCAGGCACTCAAACTGGCGTGAACTCCACAAGTTTGTGCAAAAGCCTTTGATGAGTAGGTCAAATCCTCTTGAGAGTTGTCTGAACATAAGCTTTAATAGGGTAAATAAGACTAAAAAATCTGACCTCTATGTATAAAGGCCTTAACATGGTCAATGTCATGAATTTGCTTAAATTTGAATAGCGACCTACAAAAATAGTTCAGAATCTTGAACGGATATTTTTCATTTTACCTATCATAATTTTTGTTTGTTTTTAATTTTCTAGAAACTTTCTGTTGTTCATTTCCAGGTATAAATGAAAAAAAAAAGATTCTCAGTGTGGTCTCAGACCTTTGGACCCACTATATATTAGTATTGTAAACACAGAGAGCATAGTCTTGTTAGATACCTTTGATATACAGTTGCCAAAAAATGTGATTGTGAACATGTGAATATGCAGTTAGAGTTAACTGGTATGAATGGCTAACAAACCCCTGTGACTAGCAGACACTATAATTGGCTACATTTTTGATGTGGCCGAATCACACTGGGGCTGTCAATGTAAGACTCTTTGCTCGTAACCAAGATTGTTAGGTATCTTTTTTACAGTGAATATGTATAGCAAGTAACTGACAAAAAAAAGCTGGCTAAAAATGGTCATAGTGATGCTATTTTTTTTATCCTCTAACACTGTAATGTAGCCTAAACCCTGGTCTGTAAAACCAACATTTTGTTTGGAATGATGCTAAGACTTCTTTGGTTACAATCAGTGGTTATTTTCTCTGTGGTTATATTCTAAAGTAGTTTCTTGCCCAGAAATACAATCATATGCAAAAGTTTGGGTGCCCTGGTCAAATTACGTTTAGTTGATTTTTAAGTGAAACTAAGTTCACACATCCTCTACAGAAAACACACTTCTGCAGATTTTAATGCACAGTTACTGCTTATTTGCTGAATTTTTCATATTAGAGTGAAATGAAACATAAAATGTGGTCTGTGCAAAAGTTATTTTATATTTTATGTTTTATTTTTTTCCAAAGAGTTCAACTCAGTACATAAATAGAAAGTGTGCACTAACATTTGCAGAAAAAAGGCTTTATTCTTGTATATCTGTTAACATATTTTCGCTAAGAAAATCAGCCACGGATGATACGACTGTATATTTGTAGCTTTTATCAACAGCACTTTCATAATTTCAGACATATAATACATGTAACATATGGTAAGGTATTCAAGACTTGGAAAAAAGATAGAGACAATAGAAAAAGAATAAAATACATGTTATATATATATTATATATAATACATATTATATAATAAAATACATAGATTATATAATACATACCTATATGGAGCACAGCAGCTGCACTTTATGGATAGAAATGCTCCAAAATTACTTACAATAAAATTTTTTGTAACTTCCACACAGGCAGTGAGTGCGATGAAGAGGAGGTGGAGTATGAAGACTCAGACAGTGATGAGTCGTGGACTACAGAGAGTGCCATCAGCTCAGAGTCTATCCTCAGCTCCATGTGCATGAATGGAGGAGATGAGAAGCCCTTCGCCTGTCCAGTGCCAGGCTGCAAGAAGAGATACAAGGTAGACATGCAAAAGACACATGCACTGCAAATGTTCTGTTAAGTGATATAATTTAGGTTTATTATTATGTTATTAATCTTAAGACTTTTCAGTATTCCGTAAATACTATGAATTATTTGGTAACCATGCAGTGTGGGCAAAATACAAGCCCTTAGGGTTTTAACCTTGGCTTGAAAGTTCACCCTGTTTTATTTTTATATGCAAGTTCATGTGAACTCTGTGTTCACTAGATGAAAATAATGTTATAGTATTATTGAAGGCTTATAGGCTTATTTTGTCTAGTCGTATCACTATAACAAAATGTACTGCCTTTGAAATGAAAAAAAAAATCTTTTTTAGAATTTGAAGTTTGAGCAAATAAGACAATAGCTTATTTATTTATAACTTATTTATATATTTATAATTAAGACAATTAGCTGACGATTGTCTCATATATATATATATATATATATATATATATATGCAATTCATGATTTAATTGTTTTATTGATTGTTTACAACTGCTTAAAATACAAATCTAAAGTGGGCAAACTAGCTGATTAGCCTAACTTTACGTAATAGCTTATGTAATAGCTAACACTGTTGGTACTGTCGACTCAATACTGCACACACAACAATCACACAGAGGTCTACAGTTACACAGAACTATGTGTAGAGTTAAGCAAAGCTACATGTTCTTCACAAGAGTGAAAATATAAGGAAAAACACTCATTTTATTACATGCTAATAACATTAGAATAAGCCTCATAGCTAATAACTTAACTCAGTGCTGCCCTCTGTATGTTAGTACACTAAGAAGTTAGAACTTTGTTTTCGTAAGCCCCATAATGTTTCAAAGAACTCATTTACTAACTAATTCTACTTCTTTCCTTTATTTAAATTTATTGGCCTTAACCTAACACACCCAGTATGACACTGAAATCTAATAAATGTGCAAAATGATAGCAGCCAGCTTAAATAATTGAGATGGCCATAAATGATTGAGATTAGACGACTGTTATTATTGTGACAGGTGATTAATTATTTTAATCGTTTGACAGCCATAGAAGGTATATAAGGTATGGCAAAATCTACTCATTTCCTTTAATAACACTTTCTGAGGTTGTTATCTCATTTATTTTCATAAATAAAGTACATGATTTAACAAGTCAGACATTTTGTAGGTTTTTTGTGTAAATACAGTTCTACCTACTGTTTTGAGCAAGCAAACATATGAACAGGACTATACTTGACACTTAAGTCCTCCTATTGTTACTTAATAATAATTTAATAATGGGCCTTTACTGTACTTTATTCTGAATGTGTGCTCAAAACTATCACAGTTCCTGCAACAACAAAGGCAGCATTGTGCTTCTTTTACGTGATAGGAAACATGATAGCAAACATAACGCTTCCACAAAGTATAAGCATAAACACTTTGCATAATTAAAGATTGAAGATGTAAACAAAGTCATGCAGAGTGGTTTGATGCCAAATGCTTCTTTCTAGAGAAGCTTACCCAGTTACAATCGTTAACAATGGTGATAGGAACCAGATGTCGAAAGTGTTTAGTGCCTCTAAAAGCTACATCACAGAAAGCTGTTACACAAAATGCTTATTAATACACCGCCTGATGCCTGATGACATTGTTCTACGATAGTTTTGAGGTACAATTTTGGCCTAAAGGGTACATTTTTAAATCCATCCATGGTGGAGAGGTACACACAGGGTGTTGTGAGGCAAAATAGTCCCCAAAGAGTCACCATTTCATATACACCCCCTCTGAATGACTTTCTTTTCATTACCATCTTTATACAGAAAATCACACTTTAAAGGGGACAAAGCTAAAGTCTCTGAATGTGTGTTAGGTAGGATAGGGTAACCTTGGAGTAAATATTTTGTTCTCTTGTCTGATTTTGTTTCAGAATGTGAATGGTATAAAGTATCACGCCAAGAATGGACACAGGACGCAGATTCGCGTGAGAAAGCCCTTCAAGTGCCGTTGTGGGAAAAGCTACAAAACCTCTCAAGGCCTTAGACACCATACCATCAACTTCCATCCCCCACTGTGATAACCACACACACACCCCAGACTTTACACCTACCATTTTGAAACACATCTTAAACATTCACCCACAAGCTGTGGGATAAAAGTCTTGCTTTTCTGTCTTTTTAAACTGTTATTTTTGTCTGCGTTTATATATTTGTACATTTTTTGCACAATCCATTTCTATCATTCCTCTATATTACACAAGTCAGTAAAAATAGAAGAAAGAAATTACTCATAGGATTGGGACACAACGACACTGAATTGCTTTTAGGGACCTTTTTTTTATCCTCTTTCAATTTAAAACTATAAATGCAGTAGTACCGCTCAAAAAAAAAGATGCAAAAGAGAATTTCTTGTTCTTGATAAGTTTCTATTTTTATTTACTTCCGGTAAAGCACAGCTAAGTAGAGACACATATATGTACATAAAATCTATAAAGAAGCATTTAGCATATATTAGTAGCTATACTTAATATCCAAACTTTATATCATTTATTTTACACGATATATTTTAACACATATGGATATTTTTATTTCTATAGATATATATTACTCATTTGTATGTCTATTTTTTCATTTTCATACTTTCTTTTTCATTGTTTGTTTCTGTCTTGTTTGTAAAGAGTCTGAATGGGAAAGGCATTGATCTCAGGTCACAATACTGCCGCCATTTTTACAGACAATTAAGTACAAACAAGACACAAGGAATATTTATACAGCACTACAGCACCCGGCTCATTTGTAGAATGTTCCATGAAGAAAATAATCACAAACTGAATGATGGAAAAGAGGAGAAAGGGGGTGAAGGTGTTTTTTTTGTTTTCTCTTGCTAACCTACCATTGCCAGCAGCGATAAAGTGCCAAGTTAGTCTTTCCTTTCCCTTCTCACATTTGAATTAAAAAAAGAGCTCTGGGTGTCTGGAGGAATTCAAAAGGAGCAGATGTAACTCTAAAGTGCAGTTTGCAGTATTGTGTCGCCAGTGTGTGAATATATATGAGTGTGTATGAGTGTCTGCCTTTTTACATATCGTGATTGTCATCGAAATTGATATTTGTACATTGTTTTTTTTTTTCTGTTTGAGTAAACATCTGTTGCCCTCCGCTTGCCTTTTATCACGGGGCACAGCTTGCTAGCATGGACTGCCTGCCTAGCTGTTCTGCAGTATCTCCGCTTGTAGCCTTACTATGATGATATTATTTGTTGTCTGAAGTATTATACTGTTCCAATGTTACGTTTCTAACGTGGTTTCTAGTGTTGCAATCTGTAGTGCCATAGATGCAGTCTGTAGGCAGCATTGCCTGAACATATTTTCTCTAGAACAGCTAAGAGCTTCAGACCTTTTGCTGTTGCTCAGTTTAGCATGCTACGTATGGTTTACAATAGAAGTTTGTTTTTATGCCTAATTTTCTGCCTAAGGTTAAAGGACTAAAGAACAAGCGTTGTACCCTTTTTATTTGTTTTTTACTGTTACCACTGTGAAAACAATTGTCAGAACGCTAAGACAGAGTAGGAATGGGCAACATATCACAACACTTGATATCAGCCACGTTTACATGCAGCCTAATAATCCGTTAATAATCTGACTAATAGCCCAATCGGAATAGAATACGTCCATGTGTACACCTCAATCGGAATAGACTAGTTAGATTGAAGCAATTCGGAATACAGTTTCTATCCGATTGAACGAGGTGGGTAATCCTGTAGATAATCCGTTGAATAGAAGAATAATAGCCATGTAAACGCCTGTATCCAAATACATTCCCAATCGGAACGTGTAGGTCCGTTCTGCGCATGTGCGTTCGCGTCACAGACCACTGTACACTGTAGTCGTGGTGTCATTCTGTAGTCGGCGCCATGCTCTTATGTCCATATTAGGAACTCCGGTTCTAAGCTCCATTGTGAACATTCTTCTCTCGAATACCACTGGATCCTCTGAATTACGAGGTCGTTAAAGAGTTGAAATATGAATATTGCTACATGTGAGCTAAAGCTACTGCGCACTGAATTCGCGTCATTAGACTGACAGCCTCCTTAATCAGGCTTTGTCAGTGTACATTTCCATGTACAGACTGAAGGCAGATGAAAAGAAGTCAGAACAAAATCAGCAGGTTTCCCTGCAGTTCTCTGTTCTTCATCTGATGCTCAGTGAAACACGATAGATCTTTACTTTTAGCTTGATTTGAAAAGATCTACAAACGTATCTGCACTCAGGCTAATCCAGTACAGACTCAGCTTAATATCACTGCTCACCCCTGATAAACTGATTTAGGCTCTCAGAATATCCTAATTATTGTTTTAATGCTGGTAACATTTTTCTTAGGACATTCGCCAGTCCTTATTTCGAATTTTTCCGTTCCACCTTAAATGGTGCAGCAGTCACGTTCTGAAGCTGACTTCAGCTTCATGGAGGGTTGAAAGGGACAATATGAGGAGGTTTCTCTATTTCTGCTTAACAGCTGAGTAACATTAACTTATTTTTGCAGTTTCACCGAACTAACAGGTCAGTATTTTGTCTCGTTTGCGCATGTTTGTGATAGCTAGTCAGAACAGCTGCACCATTTAAGGTGGAACGGGAATATTCAAACAAGAAGCTGCGAAAAAAGAAGCCAAATTCAGCCTCGCAGTTTTAACACGGGTAGTATTTTCGATAAGGAGTTTTAGCCTTTCAAAATATCCCACCTAGACGTTTTATTTACGGGTATACCTGTAAACATGCGCTATGGTAGAAGATTTTGATAAGGTAACACAACACGCCAGAGCACCGCCACAGCCCGCCTTAGTTTCTTGAAGCTTAGTGACATCAAATTGATGCGCAGTAGCTTTAGCTCGCTTACAGCAATATTAGTATTATAGCTCTTTACGATCTCGTAATTCAGAGGATCCAGTGATATTCGGGAGAAAAATGTACACAGGACAAAACGTATCGAGTTCTGAACATTTTTATTTAACACAGGGTGCGATAGAGGCGATTTTTCGAAAACCCTATTCATTCTGGCTTAGAGAAATAGAGCTTAGACCCGGAGTTCCTAATATGGGCATAACGAGGACTACAGAATGACGCACGACTACAGTGCTCTATAGCGAAAGCAGAGCCGGCTTATGAGGAGCCTGGCCACTTCCTATTCCCCCCGTTATATCAAAAACAGGACTGCTAAATAGCAGAGAGCGCCTGCGAGTGAGTCCTCAATGAATGGGAGTAAATAGCGCTCAACGGCTAAAAACGAAATGTTAAAATAGTTTCTAATCACTTACCCAGAACGTTTCTTTAATTTTAGAAAATAGAAGGATGTATTGCACTAAAAAAAAACAAAGAAATCCTACCTGTATATTTCCTTTTTTCTACAGCAAACGGGTTTTGGGCAGCAGGAGGCGGGCATTACTGCTAGAGCGTGATGATTGATTGGCGAGTGACGTCTTCCTCTCGCCGTTTCTTTAATAAGTACACGTGAAGTACATTTTCTGAGTCTGTCAAAATTTTAAAGTACTTAAAAACAAAAGCGCGCCAACTGAAAAGTCGTCTCACTCTGACTGGACTCACGTGATGCTCGCTGTCATGGTAACGTGTATACTAAGTGGTACTCCACGCATGCGCGTCATTTTGGATCTGATTACTTGCAGTGCGCATGTAAACGGAGATTTTCATCAGATTGTTGAGTAGAGGGCATATAAACACCTCAGTCTTAATCTGTAATCGGAATGTATTCAATCAACGTGTAAATCAATGTAAACGTAGCCATTGTCAAGATAGTTTTCACGATATTTCGTTTTGCTGAGATTTGATATGTTGGAACAGACAAAAAAAAGCAGCAGTAGTGTCACCTTAAAAATAAAATAAAATTGTATGCGTACAGTATTTGACGTTTGATATACTGCACTGAACTAAACAAGAAAGATTATGTTATTCGTAATTAAACATGCAGTTGGTCTGTGTTTAAGTACTGACAATATCTAAGATATGCTTAGAAAAGCATATTGTCATGTAATACATCAAAATAACGATAAAAAATTGTCATATTGCCCACCCCTATGTTGGTGCAACCCCACCTTATTTACCGTGGTAAATAGGGCCTATTGGGACCATCAGAGGCACCGGCATAACTCCAGACATAATTAATAAAAAAAAGCAATACCATGATGTGGTACACCTGACTTACTGTTTCTGTGGTAAAGTGCCATAAAAGGATACTCCACTAGTTGGCCCCAGTTTGTAAAACGAAAATGGCCTTGTTCTGCTGCTGTTATTTGCTGGTCAAATTTTTTTCTGTATTATGAGTGGTCAATAACAGTCACAATAAGCTAGTTGCTTGTAAGTGCATCTGATTTTTAAACAGTATTTGAAGTTTAGTATTTTGCAAACTAAAAAAAATTTGGTTACCACAAACACATTTCATCAATCGTAAATTGGTACTATAAAGCTTGATTGCATTAAGGAGGATCATATAATGAACAGCCAATTTTTTTTTTTAAGTGTTATAGAACACACCAAGATGAGTGTGTGTTACATAGTACAATAGACTAACTGCTCTGTAAGTTTAAATACTTGAGCAGGTGTTCAGGATTTCTCAGTTTAGCCAGATATCTTTAGCCCAAAGTCAAGCCTGTTTAACAGGAAAAGAGCTACTGGACATTCCTCAAGCTTATCAGGCTAACTGAGAAATCCTGCTTTGTGAAATGCCCCCAAGATGTGTAAGTCTTGTCACGTTTGTCTATGTGCGAGTATGTCTTTTTATGAGCATACAGTCCTTTTCCACATTTAGAACCTGCTCCTTTTCCAGAGTAGTTTGGTCACACACACACATTTCAATATGTCCAACAATACAACTGCAATCAATGGGTTCAATGTGACTTACTGTAAAATTGTTGTACATTTGGATTAAAAAGTGACTGACATGCATTTGTTACAACATGGGAGGCAGTTTGATATGCTGTATAGTGAATGTATTGTACTGTCTTTGTAAAGTGGTTTTAAAAATATATTTTCATAGTATGTTTTGTGGAACTTTGTGTAGCAAAAGCTATTTGTATGTGTGGCAAGATTTGTATCATGTGAATATGAGTATGTGTGACTGGTCAGTTGTTTTAAAAGCTGCTTATGACATTTTAAAAAGGTACAAAAAAAAAAAACAAAATAAAGAGGAAAAGTAGACCAATGTGTTAATCTGCAGCGCAGTTAATTACACTTCACTGAACCTGTAGCATTCTTTATTAGTAAATGCAAGCTTGTTACACATACACAGAGCAACCAATTTCTAGTTATATTTTCAGAGGCAAACATTACATTAAGTTGGTTATATGGATTTGGAAGAGTGATATTTAAAGCCACAATCAGGGATTATCAACTTTAGAAAGTCTTAAATCTCAAAATGCAAAGCTCAATGGCAGAAATGATTCAAAGTAATATTACAACATTAAGAAAGTTTTGTTAATTTGGCAACTTGCTGCAGGTAAAAGGTGTAGTCTTTAAGAACAGAGTCAGGCAGTATATATTACATGAATCTGATTGAATACACTGTATGAATCAGACAGAATATACCACTGTATGATTCAGACAGAATATACAACTGAATCAGACAGAATATACTACTGTATGAATCAGAATATACTACTGTATGAATCAGAATATACTACTGTATGATTCAGACAGAATATACTACTGCATGAATCAGACAAAATATACTACTGTATGATTCAGACAGAATATACTACTGCATGAATCAGATATAATATACTGTATAAATCAGACAGAATATACTACTGTATGATTCATTTTAGAAAAATAGATTGCAAATCCCTGATAGTGACTTCAGTATAATGAACAGAATGAAGAAGTATGAACACAGTATAACGCATTTGACAGACAAAGTGCCAAATCACAACTCTGGCTACTGTTCAAGCTGAAACAGTGCTAGGTTGTTCTTACAGAAATCAAAGCACCAGTTTTTGTTTAATATAGATTTAACACAACACCTGCCAGGATAAAACCATCTAAAACATTTAAAATTCACTGGCATACTTGCACAGATCTGTGATCTTTTATCTGGTTCTAGTTCAATGTTTAATTATACAGTCAGTTTAGCATTCTGAAGCACCTTCTACATTTCAAGCTGAACAAACTCAATCTTTATTTATAATATGTATATTTTATTGGCCAGAGCAAGTATGATAAAACCAAACTGGTCCACAGAGGTCTAATGCACTCTAGATAAAAAATTAGACATTTTTAACTGCATATACTTTATGAAAGGGATTTTTTATATCGTTTAATTTCTGTCCACCTTTTAAGATGAAAAAAAAGAGAAAAGATAACAGAATTAAATATTCACAATGTTTTTTTAAAACATTACCTGTGCTCCCAATCATCATATAAAATCAAAAAAACAAACAAAGAAAACATCCACTGAGTGGCAAATAGTAAGTAGCAACAGACCTCTCTTCATAGATTCTATATTTGTACAGAATGTAAAGCCATCAGCTCTCATTTTACAGTGCAACCAATCTTATAGCAGCTTTAAAATGCTTTCTAAATGCATAAACTTTAAACAAACAAAAATCTGGGAAAGGGCTAAGCTTTACACCTGGAGTTGGCTGACAAAACCTGTTTTTTCCTCTGTGCCCTTATATGAGTATCTATGTGCAAATAAAACATTCTGATTGGTGAATCCTAATAGTGTCATAAAACATGCGACCATTAGCACACAGCCAAGTGACATCGTCAAAAAGTGCCAAAGAAAACATTTAAACTCCCCCTCTTCTCTGTGAAATTTTATTATGCTAAAAAGCAGGACACTGTGCCTCACCCACTTGCAGCTTTCTAATCGAAGTTGTCAAAGTTGAGCACGTTGCCATCAAAGTGCGTGAGAACGTGTTTCTCGTAGAGGTGCTGCTGGCAGTCCAGAGGGAACTGCTCACTGCAGACGGGGCACTCCTTCCAGTGAGACTCGACGTGGCGCTCGAAACTGCGCTGCTCAAAGTGCGGCGGGAAGATCACTTCACAGAGAGGACAGCGCTTATGAACATCAGTCCTGAAAGTGAGAGAGAAGCAGAGTGTTACACAGTATTAGTAATCTTCAAGTAATTTTGTGGTTGAGTAACAAAAACAAACAAAAACAAAATAGTAATTGATTAAGATTAAAACAAACATTCTGACATGTACATGAAATTTATTCACAGCATAAATTTCGTAAAAAACAAAGCTAGGCTTCATGTGGACAAAACAATTAATGTGAACAACCTACATAGAAAATAAATAAATCTAAATTCTAGCTAGTTTTCAGCAGCAAGTGGCTGACTACTGTGCAAACCTAGACAATGCTGAGCTGTTCAGAGACAAATATAATTGCTGGAAAAAGTTTGTGAAGTTCATTTACCACTGGAAACTAGATAAAAGAGAAGTAAAAATTAGCTAAGATTTCAGTTTGAAGCCGTTAGTACGTGTACAAGACATCTTTGCATGTTTGCCGAGCTGTTGTTGTTGTAGCTCCATCTGGAAAATCGCTGCTCCAACAAATGCAAATACAGTGGTCTGTGATAGGTCAGTCTGCCTGTCAGGAGAGACATTTACAAAGGAGTAGACAATTCACTAGTTGGACAATGAATGGAAAAGCTCGACATGGTGTCTGTTTACGGGGAAAGTCCCACCCTTCAACAAAAAGAGCCAAAAGGCTTGCTGTTTAAGCTGCAAGCAGGAAAAGCCCTCCCTGCACATGCACAGTTGCACATGCACAGCAAGCTGTAAATATGTGTTTTTGTGCTTTATTTAAGTCAAATGGTAAGGTAGGAAATAATGCTTGGTTTGACTGAAGCTTGTAACCTGGATTTTCCTACCTTCGAATAAGAAAGAAAGAAAACCAAAGAAAAAGCCCTTCAACTGGGAATTCCTACTTGAAAAGTTGGGATGGTGTTCTCAACTCCGAGCTCAGTCTATGGCATCAAATCAACATGGCTGCTCACACAGTCAATAGTAATAAAGACCTACTTCCATACATTCAAATGAGATAGTAGTTGGTTAAATTATAACATTATTTATAGTTTCCTGTTTTGAGAAGGTAAATACACCATGAAGTTATCACTAACATCTCTAACATTTAGGGCTGGGCAATATGACAATATACATTGTTATCGTGATAAGTTATGTCACATCTTCATCTTCAGCACTTGTAGAGCACTGACCAAATGCATCTTTCACTACAAAGAGAGCAAAATTGGTTCCGTTTAACTGGATTTAGTGCAACACAGTATGCCAAATATTGAATAAAAATTACTGTATTCACAGTTTCTGATAATTTTTTTTAAATGTAGCACTACTGGCTCACTCTTCTCTGTTCCATCTGATCAGATGTCTGAAAAAATAATTAGTGTGACATTGCTTACTGTGAATATTTCTTGAACTTATAATTTTTGCCTACTAACATTTGCTGGCTAGCTCGCTGCCAACAATATTTGTTTTCATTTCATGTTTTCCCCCACTTTGTAGCTCGAACACATGGAGGTCAAAAATGATGCAATTCCAAGTTCCGAATTCCCACGTCCAAGCCAAGTAGAGCACAGCATAACTTCTTTGGGGTGTTGCCAAGAAGCCTAGTAGATTACTTTGGCCCATCCTTACTCAGTGCTTCAGTCAAGTACAGTGTAAAAAGTGTTTGTCAGTTCAACCTTAAAAGAAAAACGTAATATATAATACAATTTCAATCCAATACACTTTTGGCCAAATTCAGTTCATATCTCCTCATGGTCTGCTAGCTATTCTGTGTGCGCGCTGGAAAAAAAAAATGATTTTGGTACCCAGCCCTGGCTCTGTAAAAGGGAAACAAACAAAAAGGCTTGGAAGAGAAACACAACACTGTTCCAGCCAATCAGCAACAGGGGGCGTTTGTGTTCATGCACAGGGCAGGGGGGAAGGGGAGGGGCTGTGTGCCGAACAGTGTCAAGAAGGTTAGATGACCAAGAAACAGCCAAAGAGGAGAAAATATGAAGAACAAAGACTGAGAAAGAAGTTCTTAGATGAGAAAAGGGCAAAGAGCCCTGTTAACATTGGTGAAGCGTTGCAACGCTGGAGAGACCTCCAAAAGTTGACAAGGTTAAAGTTGGCTTCCCATTCACATTTTCTCATTCTACCTTAAATCATGCAGCAGTTCCATTCTGGCACCTCAGACGCCTGAATGTAACTGCTGCACCATTTAAGATGGAACGGGAAAATTCAAACAAGAAGATGGCGAAAAAGAAGCTAACTTCAGCTTCATCGAGAGTTGAAAGGCATAAAAGGAGATGAAGAAGTTGCTCCTTGACAGGTGGTTTGCATTAACTTATTTTTGCTGTTTCATAGAACCAGTAGGACAATATTGTTTTGTCCCATTTGTGATAGCAACCGGTTTGCTTTACAGCAGCAATTGTAGCTACAGTTTGCTAACCCACAACCTAGTTACGTTATGTCAGGGTATTTGTCTGTTAAAAGTTTGCAAAGGGTTTTAATGCCACGAAGACTTAAAAAAACAAGTTTGCTAGCCCCATGAGTTCAAATATCAGTCATTCTCCAGAATCATATACTGTGCCTTTGACAGGCAATTTAACTTGTTTTATTCAGCTCAAACAAATATTTTAAATGAAACAAGTAAAAGTAAAAAAAGTTATTTTACATCTCGTACATCTTGTGTCCTGTTCCACTTTTTACAGTCTAGCCGCATAAGTAGTTAGAGCGCATGTGTGTTACCTAGTGTCAAAGCAGAAACTGGTGCGGTTCTCGTTGGATTCTGGACTTTGATGATCACAAACTGCAGGGGCTTCACCATCACCTCCCTATGAAGAGACAACAGCCCATATTAACACACATAATCCACTTCCTGACTGAACCCTGTACTGAACAGTTTAACTCTCTTTAGAAACATCCAACTGCCACTTCCTTTCTGAGACTTGCAAAAACACAAACACCGAGCACAAATCTCCTAAAAAGCACTGATCTCTTACAAACACACAGACACACGCACACACACACACACACACACCACTCTTTCTACTAAAAGCCACGGCTGTCTGCACACAGCCGGCTCCCTGCAAAGGTTAATGGGCTTTTAATGCAGCAAACGAGAGCGGAAGAGAAGTGGGTCACTACAGTGCAGCGCCTGTGCAGAGCACAGGCCGACACCCGCAGCCAATTAGCACAGCCCTCGTCAGCCTCGCCCGCTAATAAGCCTCCGCCCTCGTCACTCCAATCCACTAATGAGCCGGAGAAGAAAAGCCTTAATTGTGCTTTTATGCAAATTGCCCACCCTTGCACTGCCCCCCTGACCTGAAGTGTCTAGCGTGTGGGAGAGAGAAGAGGAAGGAGAAAGAAAGCGGTATGGGAAGAGAAACATGACAGAAGAAAGGAGGACCAAAGAAACAAACTGACTATAGTTACAGTGATAACAGACTATAGCTGTGTGGCAGCTAAAACCATGAATACAGTAATAAATAAAAATCTGTAATGGTAACTGTCAGGTCTACTAGTTAGAAGTAGTAAAACAGTATTCTCACACTAGGCCGTTCCTCAGCAGGATTCTCCAGACCATCAGGAGGGCTGAGGCTCCGTGATGGCTGACTGCAGACTACAGGTCCTGCCCATGGAGGTGGAGCCACTGGAGGGGGGCGGCATGTCTGCTCAGGGGACAACGCCCCATCTGCACCATCTGTGGGGAGGAAACACATATGTACATTACAGTAATCCAAAACAGAACTTGAAAGATGAGATTGTCATTTGTATGTACATTGGTTGCAAGCGGTACACTCATTTTGTTGCAGATCAAATCCTTGTATTTCCATTTTTTATGTTTTTACTTAATTTGAAAAGGCCAGCTGCCAGTTACAGTACACAGTATCAAAATGTCATGGCAAACAGAATAAAAGAAATGGTTGAAAATGATTAGATTAAATTGCTGTTACATTAACTTACATCGAATGTTAAAGTTTTTTCCTTCTCATTACTTTTTCTGGAGATGCCAAATCCGACAGTGATGATTCACTGTTTACTACAGTAAAGTTGGACCAGACAAACACGTTGGACTTCAGCAATGTTTTGGCAAAGATTTGGCATCTGTCTATAGCACCTACAACTCTGGCAGATCAATTTTTACAGGCTATTTATGCATCCCCCATAAAAGTAATATGACTACTGTCCAATCAGCAGAACAGAGAAAACTCAAAATTACACTAGTGATGCACCGGTATAGTAATCGTTGGCCTAGGCCGATATCCAATACCCTTCATGCACATATCTGCCAATACATAAATATTTCTAAACTGCAGAAATTGGGACTAAATCTACTTGGATTGGTTACAGAAAATGTACTACTTATCTGTAAAGGGTTACAAATGCAATAAAATAATAAAATGCAGACATTTTAGCACAGTAGGCCAGCATAATCTAAACATTCTGTTCTTCTGAAGCAAAATAACTACATCATTAATTACCTGTCTGAAATACTAATTTACTACTGTATTTAAAGCACTTGTTTAAAACTCCTCCACTGCAGCAAAACTGACTGTCTCTCTCGCTCTGCCCCTTTCTGTTTGGCAGCTGCACTCACCACGTGTCTGCTGTTCAGAGTAAGGGTTTCCATACTGCAGCTCTGCAGGTTGCTGGGGCACCAGTGGAAGTGGGGGTGGGTCCTGAGGATACGGCAGAGGATACCGCAACACCACAGGCTCCCTGACCTCTGACCTCTGGTCTGCAGCTCCTTCCTCTCTGCCTGCACATGACCGCAGCTCCTGAGAGAGATAAATATCAGCTAAGCTACTGCTGAGTAAGATGTGTTTGCAAGGTAATATTTGCTTCGTAAACAAGACTATTTACAGCAGTCGCCATGGTTATGCGTGAGAAGCAAGAGTTCGCATTCTTGGCTAGAACACCTAGAGCAGGAGTTATCAAATAGTTTTATTCTAAAGGACACTTCAATGATTAGCTATTGAGTGAGAAAGAGCAATATTTTTTAAAAGGAAGAAACATATAAAACAACTTTTAAAATTATTAATTAGTATAGAATCAGATTACATATTGAAAGAACCTTGAATTACATCTAACTGTAGTCATCAATTAGGCCCATTTAATATAATAAGGCACCACAGAATATCAGTCTGAAAACCACTGACCAAGAAAATTCCAAAAACTTAGCCTTATTTTGAAATGTGAAATGGTTCAGAGAGAACCTGTTGACTGACAGTTGGCAACAATGTTAGAGACATTCTGAAAATGTTCCCTGCAGAAAACATCATTGACTTTTAAAAGCAAAAACAAAACAAAAAAAGCTATTAATATATCATTAAAACCTACGAGTCATCATGGGCTGTAACCTGTGCATACCAAACACTCGAAAAAGTTACCACAGAAGTGTAAACAAAGGAAGCTAACACTTAGTCATTGTGAGGGAAACTGATTATATTTATACAGATAAAACATTCCCTGTCTTTAAATAGCTCTGGTGCAGTGTGCTCTAGCTCTCTTTTGCTCTTTCTCCCGCTCCCCTCTCTGACCTGAGAACCGTGGGTCATGATTAGAGGAGTTATTCCCACGTTTAACATTTAACACAAGTGCTGATGGGTAATCAGGAAGCTGGCTGTGGCATTTAGTCTCTACTGGCTACGCTAGCACATTCACACTCAGCCTGACTTGAATGTCTTAATTGCAGAGTCTAATGAAAGTACTTATGATATAAAAGATCCTCATTAACTTTCATCATTTCTAGCCACAGACTCTCATGTTAGCCTTTTGGATCGCAGTGAATATAGCTAACAGAATTACAAATGGCCAATCTCATAACCTAAGAATACCTTTGAGGATAAAAGCAGGAAATAAGGTGGATCTTACAGGACAGAGTCAAAGGCGTTTTATGGCTTGAATGCATTCTGGTACTAGTAGCATGATGACAAGTGTTATAACAGTTTTATGAATGGTTTTACCTCCTCCAGCCTTTCCTTCTCTCTGGTCACATAAGCTAGACTCTCCCTCAGCGATGACACTTCTCTGTCCTTCTCAGACAGCTGAGCCTATTTATACAGACACACCGGCACAAACACATCAAACATCATGACACCAAATTGTTTTATCAGTGGTCATAGAAAAGATGTGCTTACAAATACTTGCTCAAGCAGTAGTGGCTGGAAAAAGGAGAGGAAAAAAAAAAACAGTAGTTAAGTTGCTCATGCATAGATATCATTAGACAACAGCCTGCATGTTATTCCTATTAGTCATGTACAGCAATAACTCACTACCTCCAAATAGGGAATAAGAAGGTATTTGCAAGCAAAGCAACACCAAATGTCTACGCATTACAGCAATCATAGGAGCTGAAACACATTTCGATCTTAGGTTTAAGTTCATGGAGCTCATTACAAACGTAATTAGGGATGAATGTTTTAATGGTGCAGATCAAATTACTTCAGTACTATCGAGTATCAAAAACTCAAGTGTTGTTGTCTTCTTAACATCCACAAGCCATGCATGCTTGTTCCAAAATCTGGGCCGGGGACTGACTGTCTAAATTACATTCATGCATTATTAATGTCAGTGCCCACTTCCAGCAAGTCACATTCAAGCCACACCCACTTTCCAATAATTAAGTAATTTAAACAGGAACTCAGGACTGACGTCAAGTTATCTACACTGAAACAATTTAAATGATACCCATATCCATACACATAATGTGTAACTGGTGCTAGTTCTTCCTAATATACCACTGATTTGTGGCTGATCATTCAGATAAACAATACTCATATCACCGCAATGAGTCCATATATCTGTTTCTCATTACAGATGCTGCAAAGTAGATTTTGTAAAATATACGTTTTAAAAATTAGCTTTAAAACATTTATTCCAACCTTTATTTAAACCTTACTGTATTGTGGTAATGAGAATTTTGTCATTTAAATTGGAAAATGTTACTAAAAATGAATTTAAAATCAATTAAATCGCTCAGATTTACTTTTAATCATTCAACCAGGAATCATTATTTGTATATTCAAAAAAAAAAAGAATTGTGCATTTGCAGGCACAAAAGTAAAATGGATCAATCATTTTCAAAGCATCACTGATGCGCAGCTTATTGTGAAGGTTGCATTTCAAATATATACAGCTGTATGCTAAAGTTTGAATCCCCCTGGTCAATTGACACGTTTTGATGATTTTCTATGTGTAAATAAGTCTCACATAAGTAAAATATTGGATTTTTCTGCAAATTTTAAAGCAGACTTTCCATTTATTTCCTGTTTGACATACTGGGGAAAAAAAAACAAAAAACATAAAATATAAAATGTGCCACAACTTTTGCACGGGCCACATCTTATGTTTTTGGGTCAAATATGGGTCCAATATGTTAAATTCACTAAATAAACAGTAACATACATATGTTCTCTATAGAGGACGTCTTAACTTACATTCAGTCAACAAAACGTAAATGATCAAAGGTAGTTTTCTTTATTTTCCTTTCTGGATTTTGACTCAAACTGAAACACATGTATTCAGTGCTTTGAAGGTGACAGGTCACTAACAAAACAGAGAGGTCATAATTATTCAATAGGCAAATTAAATCACTACCACACCACAAATGGTGCATTATCCTCCCTGAATGATCTAAAAGTATTAAGCCTGTACTTGATTTCGCTTGCATGCATGTGTGAGTCTGTAGATGTGTTTGCGGATGAAACTGACATAGAGTGATGTACAAGGTGATTCTGACCTTCTGGTTTGGTTTATACAAGTCCTCTCAATCCAAAAAGGAAAAGAAAGGCTACGAGCCTCAATTTACTGTGCACTAATCTCTCTGTCTTTCTGAGTTACGGTTGTGCGTATTTGTGTTTGGGTGAAGAACGCTGATGAAATGGTTAGACCCAGGTTTCTTACCCTGCCTTCCAGTAAACACTCATAAAGCACAATGTGCATGCGTGTGCGTATGTGTTTAAACAGGCTGTAAATAAAGGACTCTCTCGCCTTTGATGGTGCCTCCAGCTTTGTCTAAATACTCAGACAAGGGCAGCCCTTTACGACCTAGTCTCTTCTCCACTCAGCCAACCCGAAGCTTTACGACTCTCTCTCTCTCGCTCTCTCTCTCTCTCGTGCTCCCTCTCTCTCTCACACACCCACCCACCCACACACCCACACACACACACAGACAGAGAGAGAGAGAGAGAGAGAGAGAGAGAGAGAGAGAGAGAGAGAGAGAGAGAGAGAGAGAGAGAGAGAGAGAGAGAGGAAGGTCTCACAGAGAGTGCACGATTGGAGTTGGCCAAGAATATGACCACTTTCTTTTTTTGTTTGCATTTTTGCTCCCATTTTATTATTTTTAGTTTAGTTGATCTGTGTCATAACTTAACCTGTTGATTTTCTCGTAGACAATAAGTTAACACAAACTTAAATAAGTTGACAAACATAAATATGGCATTGTCTGCTAATTTTGTTGTGCAATTTCTATTTATTTGCTGATTTTCCCATTTTGAAAAAAAAAAAACAAACATTATATCCAAAATGTGCCATAACTTTTGCACAGGACACATTTTATCCTTCATTTTTCCCCAATACAAGTTAAATTCAGCAAACTGTAATTGTAATGGGCATGAGTGTGTTTTCTGTAGTGGATGTGTTAGAAGACCAACAAAAACATCTGTAAGAGCACTCATGCTGTAAGAAATAAAGAATTTAAAATGCCAGTTTCTCCTGTTAAAGAGCAAATAATGGTTTTACCTAGTCACAACAACTAAAGACTGAACTAAAGAAAAAAATATGTAAAGAAAACACCACTAAACATCAAAAGTCTATTAAATTGTACTTTCAGATATCACAGTCATTATGGATCACTATTCACAAGTCACTAAGTGGTCCCAGATTTTGAGATTTCCAAAAGAACTTGACAGTTTGAGTATCTATTCAATATGTTTTGTGCCCGTTTGTGTGTACGAGTGTAAGCGACAGATGTACCTTAAACCGCTGCTCTTCGTTGGCCAGCAGTAGTTTCAGGTTGTCATTGATGGTGCATTGCTCTCTCCATCTCTCTTCCATTCGAGCAAGCTCCGCTTCCACTGACACGCTGTACTCCTCTCCTTCCTCTTGTTCCTCTTCCTTGTTCCCTTCCATTTTTTCTTCCTCTCTCTCCTCCCTTTCTCGTTCTCCCTTTTCCTCAGACTCCTGGATCTCAGGTTTCTTCTCTGTAAGACAAGAGACAACATGCTATGAGCACTACAGACTATAATCACAACACTCTGTTCTACACACTATGTTTGCATGTCCACACCTGTATCAGGTGACTCTACATCTGGTGTGTTGGGCTCCTGAGTGGTCTCTGTAGATGCATCATTCTTGTTGGACTCCTACACAAAAACATATTTATATCATATGCTTTTCCAAAAAAACAAACAAATGAATAAACAACCTTTACTGTATTTTCGCAGAGTTTTGCAGACAGTGCTGTGTAAAAAACAGTAGTTGTGTTTTTCCCAGTAAAAACTCAATAAAATTAGAATAAATTAAAATATGTATAGAATAGATATAATACATACCTAATAAATACAATAAATATATAATAACAATTGAATTAAAAATTACAAATGATAATATTTATTCTACGTTATTGCAGAATAAATGCTATAAACATGAATACAGTAAATGCAGTAAAAAGGTTTTAAAATTATCATTTTGGTTAATGAATACAGTTAGAAGAATACAAGTTTTTTTGACTCTGACTTCAGAGTGAACTCCAGTCATAGCACAGATTTATTCAATTTTATTGATTAGATGAAGCAGGTACTGGATGATAAGTATAAATAACGGGCTTCCATAAAATAATAATGTCCTTTGTAATAATTTGTATTTTTTGTAATATATAATAAGTAAATGCTTGAAGACCAGATAAAACAGCTCTACATATTTTCTCAGATGGTCTAAGACTTTTGCATAGTTCTTTGTGTCACTAGATGGCGATGTCGCTTCCCTCACTCACCCCCTGCTGTGTCTCCTGCTGCTGGGTGAGTTTTGTAACTTGTCTGCGCAGGCGCTGGCACTCTCTGTATTTCTCCTTATAGTGCTCTGCAGCCATCTGCAGCCTCAGCTTCAGCTCCTCCACCTCCTTTTGCAGCTCTGCCTCCAGCTCAGTGACCACGCCCCCTCCCCCAGCAGCCCCGCCCTGGTTAACACACTTTAAATAAAGACAGTTGCTCAAATGGAGTCATATTCAAAAATAAAGCTAAATAAACATGATTCGTTTATGACAGCAGTGTTTATTCGTGAATCAGCTACCTTTTAAATATGTTTTTAACTTCGAGATCTTGTGTAGTGATACTTGATGTGATGTGAACATTACGAAAAAGTATCTTTAAGCTCAAGAGGTATTATCTAAGATGGTCTTAGCCATCCAAGTCAGCCATAGCTAGGAATAGTTTTCAGAAAGGAAATGCCCACTGCACAATCTAAAGTTACACCTAGGCACAACTAGGTTTAGTCTTAATGGTGCGCTCATATGAAAATACATGTAACAATGACAGCTGATAAACAAAACTGCTGGACGTGTACATATCTTAGGCTCCCAAAATAAAAAAGCAGAAATAATTTCACCAGTAGTGAAACTTACATACTGGTTAAATTATAGAGTCTGCTTAAGTCACACTGACAGATAAATATCTTTACATGTTCAACCAAAATAGAACAAAAAGTCAGGATGGGAAGGTTCAGGAGGACATCACACATGAACAGAGTTTAACCTTTTTGAGCCACAAATATCCAGAGGTGTATTTTGGGGTTCATGACCCCCTCCCTCCCTTTCCACACATACTTGAAACCCACCCCAGTACTAGCTTGTTTGAAGCGGTTAGCATAGCCTAGAAATTAGTCTAGAATTTGCCTATATGCCTGTTCCCAGCTAGGCATAAAGTTACACAGTGCAATAGTCTTAAAATTACACCCAGAATCTTATGACCAACTTAGTTTACCAGACCCTGTGATGTTTTATTTTGCAAATCACAATAATAGTATCTGTCATATTTAAAATTAAATTCGGTTGGTAAAACTGCAGCCTACTACAGCACAAGATATACAGTGAATCCATAAAATATACAAACAGAATTTGATTTAATTTACTGTGTACTGAACATATTTGGTTATGGCACCCACAAAAGTCTGTAACACAGGGTTACGAAAAATAAACTTCAGAATGTGTGGCAATGGAGTTGAGGCTGTTCACGGTGTTGATAATGCCTGCTACCTCAGTTTGCTCTGAGCCTGTTCCATAAGCATCTGTGTGCTTACTGTTTCTTGTGATGTTTGGCTCTTCAGCTTTTCCAGCTGGCTCTGGGCCTTCCTGCACTCCTCCTGAGCCTCTGCTAAGCTGGCCCGCAGGGCATCAGCCTCTTGCCGGGCGTGGTAAAGCTCGGCCATGGTGCGGTCACGTCCACTGGAGGCATCACGTAGTTCAGAACCCAACATGGCTGCCTGTTGCCGAGTTGCTTGAAGCTGCTCCTCTGCCTGACGCAACTGTTCTTTCAGATTCTGCAGACCCACACAGACAGGGCACTCTGAGGGTGACTGTTCACAAGTGCTGACTGAGTGTCTGAGTATCTTATAAATATCTGGCCGCTATATCCTATACCTAAATGTGCAAATGAATCTTCATCAGGTTTTTTCTATCAGTAACTGTTTTTGTGTTAGCACCATGAATACGTATGCATTTATTTTAGATTCTTCAACATAGCTCCAACACAATTTTGCTGACCACTGTTCTGACTGGATGTCCTGCTTTGTGTCTAATTCAGAAAGCAGTCTGCACTGGAAAAAGAAAGCTTATAGGTTCTACGTAAGTGGGCGGGGCTAGACTGTTGTAGGTTGAATAGATGGATATGTGTAAATGTGTTGGTTTTTGTGACATCATAAAAACAGTGGATTACAGCTTAGTTTGCATACATGGTCTAGGGGTGTGCATTCCAACTGTAATAGATATGTAAATTCACACACATAATGGCGACTGCCTCAGATGAGCTAATTAGCTAGAACTACTGCTGACCAGTACAACACTGTCTCTGGACCTAGCTAATATCAGCCTTGCCTATTTAAGGATAAAGCCACACTATCTCAGCCTTCTCTGTACTTAAGAATGAATCCTTGGCAATGTCTTCACATTGATGCGCTCACATTGTGTGTTACCTAACATACTTATTTGCAAATATGAGCAAAACTCACATTATACAGTACTGTCAAAACAAAAAATCAGTGTTTCACTGATGCTTGGTTTGTATAATATCTCAGTCTTTCTGTCATGAAAAGCAACAAATACCCAAATGGTGATTTCAGTATTGAAATACTGACACCATGAACAGGTTAAAAATAAGTTACTTTTTATTGACCCTGTATGGTACATAAATGTAATTGTAGGAGTAAACCACAGTTAGTTTGGCAAAATATCCAAGCGAACTAACTGCTCTTGTTGGCTTTAATCTATAACCTGTGTGTGAGTGTGTCTGCTGTGGCTTACTGTATCTGCTGGGTGTGTGTTTCTCTCGGTACGGAGCCTATGTATCTCCTCCTGATACTGAGCAATGGTGACCTCTCTATTCAGCTCCACAGCTTTCAGCATCTGCAGCTCCGCACTCAGCTTAGTGTTCTCGAGCTCTGCACTGCGTACATGAGACTACACACACACACGCGCATCATAATCACATATACAATTACAGTGTCATGATTGATCACACGCACATCTAACTGCACGTCAACAAAGCAAATGCAAATATTACAATACAAATTCTCTGAGTTACAATATTCTGACACACACATAACTGCACGCAACACCACATGACCACACATGCATGTGCACGCACACACCCCTCTGACCCTCTGACAATTCAATAGACTAAATCAGAATGCTTGTAAACAAATGTTGGCTGTACTATTGGGTAGATAAACTGCATGTTGTCAGTGGTGGAAGCAGCTTGTTTTAAGTGGTGGTAAACAGAAACAGAACAGACTAAACCAAAAATGTCAAAAATTATAAAATCTTCTTTTGTTGGTGGCTGTAATTTCAAATGCACACAACAGATTAGGTTTATGTTTTTCCAGCTTTGAAAAGCAAGTAGAAAGTGAATGGACATCACCATTAGCCTGGAGCTAAAACAGCCGCACTAGCTCTCAGGACTAGTACAAAATCCTCTTATATCAATGCAGTGCCACCAGCTAGGGGTGGGCAGTGTAACGATATTTTATCGCTATCATGATAAATCAGGTCACAATACACTTTTCTAAGCCTGTCATGTATAACGTTAGCACTTTAGAAACACTGACTAACTACATGTTTCATTACAAAGTAAACATAATTAAGGATAATTAACTAGATTTAGTGTAAAACACTGAATTAAAAACATTTTAGATGTAGGTATTATTATTATCATTATTATTAGTATTATTATTATTATTATTATGTAGCATTACAAGTTTTATTTTGTCTGTTCCAACTTATTACATCTCAAAAAACTAAATATTGTGATGCATATCGCATGTCATGAAAATGTCTTGAAATATTGTGATGTAACATTTTGGCCATATCACCTACCCATACTACCAGCTTTATCCCTCCTGAAGTAAGTTCTCAATGATTAAAAGAATCACAAAAACAAAAATTTGAACATGACAGATCTATGTAATATTTTGGTACAATTAATTAAATTTTGTGTGATATGGACAATAAAAATATGCCTTTTTTATGTTTGAAAAGAGCCTCTGAATTTTATTTTGTCAATAAATAATAGGCCATATTTAACTGAATACTATCATAATTAGGTCTGTCAAATAATTTAAATAATTAAGCACAGTGCAACACTTTTTTGTGTAGTTAATCATGATTAATCCAATTTGTCTTATTTGCTTAAATCTGACCCTAGAGAAAGACGTTTTCAAGTTAAAAAGCAGAGCATTTTGGTATAGCTATATGAGTGGATAAAATAGGCTTCATCAGGCATTTACTTTCAATACCTCAATGACATTACCTCATCATGATCTGAAACATGATGTTCAGATGACTGCAGGGTGAACATTTTTAAGTTCCTCATTTTTAGCACAGATTAACTTTTGACACCACTAATTACAACTAACCATAATTCATTATAACCTTCCAAAATTGAGGCAGTTATATCAAATCCTGCACACACACATACACACGCACACCCACATGCACTCACACAGGTGTAGCACTCACCTTATAGAGTTCTCTTTCATCTCTTTCATTCTTTAGCTGACTCTGCAAACTATCCCTCTCTGTGATCACCTTCTGCAACCTGTCTTTCAGACTGCACAACAGATACACACACACACACACACACACACACACACACACACACACACACACACACACACACACAGTTACATGGTAAAAACTCATACAGCATCAAATATCTACATTTCCCAAAAGATTCTATTATGCTGGCACACTTCCAAATCGAGGCGAGCAATGTGAACATATTTTATCATTATTGTATCATAATATTGTTATTGCAACAATATACCTTTCAGAGTGTATCATGGATATTCTCAGTACTTAAAGAACACTGACCAACTGCGTGTTTCTTGAAAACTTTCAGTTTCATTTTTTAAAAAACATGCTGTTTTTGATGGCTATTTGTAAATGTGACTTTATGGGGCATTGTGTCTGTGTGTGAAAAAACTGTCATATGTATTGTGTATCGTGAAAAAGTGTTTAAAGCTGCACTGTCAATTTTGGAGATTTGAAGACCTCTCTGGTGGAAATGTGTAATTGCATGCAACGTGTGGAGGAACATTTAGTAGCATCAGTGGTGCTTCTGACCTTTTCCCCGGGAGGATGAATCTGACATTTGCGAGTGTGTTGAAATAGTATTCAAAGAGAACTCAGTCAAAACTTGGTGAATGACATGTTTTCTGAAGATGTAAGTTAATTATCTATTATCATTGAGCAGGACTTACTTTTTGAGTGTGTGCGTGTGACATTAATATGCAAGAAAAACTTCAAACCTGTTAATTCAGGCTTTACAAGGGTGACAAACAGCAGCACAAACACACCATATTTTAGCCTGTTTTTCCCCCTCCTGCCTCAAGTTTAACAAGAAGTCTTATATAGTGTCGTTTTAATTATAATTATCATATGATTTTTTTATATTGTCCACCTCTATTTCCAAACACTTGTATGTACATGGGAAAATATACTATACTTCATACTTGTTTTGTATGTGTTTGTATGTGTATATATGTTAGGGGTCTGCTACCCAATCTGTATCTGAAGGAGTCTGACAAACCATGTTCAGGCCAATGTTTTACATACAACATTGGGCCTGGGTTTGTGATGAGTAATTTTTTATAGTATCCTTGTTATTTATTTTCACTTGAATGTACTTATGTAAATATTGTGCAATCTCTCTCACGGTCTAACATGTATAGCTGTGTTTAGGATACCAGTTGAGTTTGAGGGGCAGGTGACCGTGTCCCTCAATGAAAGCATGGATGGAGTTTTATAGTGTATCATAAGCAGTCACACCACAATTGATGAGAAGGATGTGTTGGATTGGTGGAGGAGTCACAGCAGATCTGTTGCTTGTTAAGCTCAACCAAAGTGTGTTATGCATTTCTGCAACTTTGGCGCAATGGGGCTAATGGATGATTAGAGGAGAGTGGATGAGGTTCTCTGCCAGATACGATCAGCAATTCCACAAAAAATATACTGGTAATAAATTAAGGGTTTTGCTCCAAAACACATTATAGAACACACAAGAATTTTTTATTGTTTTTATGATATATGTGGTTGGAAGTGCGCTTTACCCACATGACAAATATCAATGCTATATTATGACTTACACCATCTTTTTTAGAAAAATAAAAATGTGTTTTCTATTATGTATCAGCGATTATTCTTTTTCAAAACTCATTATATCCTAAATGGATACAAAGCATTCTGGAAGGAAAATCTTGAAATACTGTTAGTGTATTACAGATGTGTAAAATACCAGATTATCTCAGCATGACTATCAATGAAATCAAGAGCCAAGTGACAAAGCACTGCAAAACCGTGTTTGTGATTACCTCTCTGTTAGGGTGTGTGTGCAGGTTTGGGTCAGGTTCAAGTTACAAATTTAGCAGCACCAGCTGGACCTGATCGAGTCGGGTCTCCAAGTCGTGGGTATGGTTATAGTTCTTACTTCAGTTACATGTTTGTGCAGACATCTAGCGTGTGCGTGCGCACGTTTCCTACCAGTCAAGCTCAGTCTCTTTGAGCAAAGTTCTTTGTGTGACTCCCAGCAGGTCCTGCTCCAGCTGCCTAACTCTGGCCTGAGCTGCTTCTCTCTCTTCTCTCAGCCCCTGCTGAAGTTCCTGCCACAGGACAGAGCCACAGTTAATTAAACAATCCAACCAATTGCTTCATTTAATCACATGCATCAATCAGCCACCTCAAGATTAAATGACATCAAACAGCTTAAGATCAGACACTGTATGCTACATATATGTGTTATACTGTTACATAACAGTCAGTACAAATCGGGGGGAAAAAACAAAACAAATAAATACATAATAGAGACACATAAATGCACTTTCAAAATGTACTGTCTCTTGCCAATAAGAAAATGCAGTGTTAAGAGTATTTAACTTGATATCGAATCTTCAGTGCAATGCCAAAGAAGAACCACTTTCCTTGGATGGTGCTTTAAAATTCGTGACTGAAATTACTCAATTCAAAGCTTCTATAGAGAACCAAGCATGGGTCTTTTATGGCATCACCCTTAAGAACCCTTATGGGAACATTTTTAAAGAAAAGCAAGGGTTATATACTCTTAAAAAAAGATGCCACAAAGGGTTCTTTGAGTGATGCCATGGAAGAACCATTTTAGCTCCCTAAAGAACTATATTTCTGAACGGGATGCCATTTGTGTGTGAGTGTGAAGAACCCTTTTCAAGGTACAAAGAACCTTCACATAATGTTCTTTCTAAAGCCTCTATAGTACATGGGGGTTCTCGTTTCATAAATGGGTTTCTAAAGAACCATCCATTAGTTTTTAGGGAACCAAAAAAACGTTCTTCTATGGTATCAAGCAAAGAACCGTTAAGGCACCTTTATTTTTAAATGTGTTTATCATCATTGTGTATGTTCACTTTACAGGAGAAGGAAAAACTTTCTTGCTTAACTCTGAATGGAAGTCAATTTAACAGGTAACAGTTGGTAACAGTTTTATTCCATCATTTTAGACCATTTCTATGTGTCTGTTTATCGCAAAGTTTTGATACGATGTAAAAAGTAGCTGGCATTCTCAAATCATGTGAGAACATGAAAACACGGAGAATGTTTTGTTCTGACCACAATGACATATGGAGAGCTGGTTCAAAGTTCAAAACACATTTCAGACTTTTAAGTGACTATGACTTTAGACAAAATGCTTCTGTAAGTGACTCTATACCTTATTTATGATTATTTTATTAAACCAAACAACTGAACATTCCATTTTGTCACTAGCAAAACCAACACCAAACAAATTATAAATTCATTTTTTAGTTAAAAGTTAAACTTCTGATAAATCTAAATCTGTTAACTTTAAAAATGAATCAAAAGGATCTTTAAAAAAAATGAATAAAATGTAAATATTATTTTCACAAGTTGAAATTTAGGGGTTAGGTTTTCGGACAGCTACCATCCTACAAATGTAAATTTTGTATATGAGGTGTATTACTACCTCAATTAGTGCCTTCATCATATATCATGACATAATCTGTGTAAATATCTAAAGTCTGAATACTTATAATCTGAATAATTATTTTCATTTATTTATTTATTTATTTTACCGTGGGCCCTCAGTTTGAATTAATTTGGAAGAATGCTCTATATAATCATGACCACTCAAAGAACCAGTTGAATTCATAAATGATGGGTACCTGTTTTATATGGTTCTTTGAAGAATCTTTTTTCATAAAAACAGTTCTAGATAGCACCAAAAAGGCTATTATTTTAGGTCAAAGAAAGTTTTGGCACTATTGAGAACCCCTTTTGTTACAACTGTGGAGTTATTTATACAGCTAATTTCACAGCAGGTAAGGTGCAGTCCGTAAAAAGTAGTGACATGGTGGATTCGGACAAGACTAAAATCACCAAGATACTCTGGTAATGATCACATTAGCCCACCTCCACATGTAAAACTAATCTCATCCCGACAGCACTTAAGAGAGTGCATTGCGCTGATAAACTGTAACCTCTCACACTTTTGACGTTACGAAGATCAGAGTACTGCTTTGATTTCTCTTCTGTTCTAACATGTTCATATTCAACAGCCATTCATAAATCATGGCAACATCTGGATCTGACATCACACACTCACTCTCTCTCCTCCAGGCGTTTAGTGACTGGTGCTGTTTTATGGCCGATGTAGTTTCAGCGTTACTACACAGGCATATAAAGAGCATATAAAAAGTGTAGTTGTAAAATTAGCAGCCGCAAAACGCTCTTATGCTCTCATGATAACAAGAAACTATATTCACTGGCCAAAGTGAAAAAGCATAAATATAATATGCTCACAAACACACACTTTTTGGCATATGACAAGGTGTGTGTGTGTGTGTGTGTTTGGCTGGGATATGAACGACTATTATGGGAGTGTTAATGCTTTATATCAGATATTATTAGCTCTTTATGACGGACACACATAACTAAAGCCATCATGCTGGGGACACAAGGGGGCGCCGCAAGACCACTACACCGCTACAGTCACATCCTGCTTCACCAGCTCTTAGGCTCGCGTGAGTGCTTTGTAGTGGAATATGCAGAGGAAACACTAAAGCTGGAGCACAGCTAAAGGAGCACTAAAAAAGAAAGCAGTCATATGCGGTGTAGCAACTCGCGGTTAGGAATAGGGACAGAAAACAAGAAAATAAAGTAAATTGTAGTAGGGTGTGGGCAAATGGAAGAGATTAGAAAGGAAAAAAGGGAGAGAAGGGGAAAAAAGAAAGAGAAAGGCACTATATACATAATAACATTAACATATAGAAACATATTAACATGAATTACATGGCCATACATAATCTGCCAACCGTTAAAAAAAAATTACAACAGTAACACTTTTCCCATCTGTCTTATCAATATGTATTCTAAATGTACTCTAAATAGGTTATTTTTATACCTTGATATGGAATATATCACTAAATATGTTCATGACAGTGTTTTTCGTACTCAGCCATCACTATTCTCCCCAAAGTATTTGCCCAACCGTGTAAATAAAGCAGGGAGAGAGGGCATGAGAATGAAAGAGGTTATAACAAAGGCAATATGAAGTATATCACCATAATCACCTCGTATATCAAGTTATATTAGGTGTTGAAAGTAGCTGAAACTTTGGCTAGTATCACAACAGGCAACTAACATGCATGGTAACATTTAGCCTCCCTTTGGTTACAGGGAGTGCTGTTGTCTGCAGATCTGGGCAAGGTGCCCTCTTTTCCGATGAGCTGTTTCATGGATCAGGCTCTTTTTCCCCCATTCCAGTCTGAAAATGCGAGCGGGGGTGCTCGGATTTGACGTCATATTTACTCTTTCTGCAGTCAACATGGCACATTCACAATAGCGGATGCCCCAGAGAACATCCCCCTCTCTGACTCAGTCACGTACACTCATACTCAATTAATCTGTGCGGGAACTATGGACGGGTACATAAGGTCACTATAATGGGCAACTGGTCAACGTCAGGACATGGAGTCATACATACAGTCATACGCAAAAAAGTGAAAACTGGTTACACGTATTCCTCAGAGAACGCTTTTAAATAGTGCACACTTTCTACTCATTTGCTGAGTTTAAATATTGGAAAAAAATAAAACAAAATATGCTATAACTTTTGCACAGGCCACATTTTATGTTTTATTTATTTTTTAAATTCAGTAAATAAACAGGAACTGTGGATTCAAATGTGCAGACATGTATTCAATATAGATGCTGCATAACTTATTTTCAATTAGAAAAGCAACAAAAATATTATTTTGACCAGAAGTGCACAAACGTTTGTATATACGATTTTACCATATGTATTATATCATCTCTGTCGAAATACAACCTGATATCTCCATTTTTTGACATTTTTTCTTTCTTGCTTTGTTTTCTTGAAAATACCAGCTGGTCTTTACTTTATATATAAATTTCATGATAAATGGACCAATAGAAATGCTCCAAAATTACTTGCAAAAAAGTAGTTACTCAAACTTACATTAAAAGTAAAGAATATTGCTGCATTCTCCTATAAAGTTACCACTACCAACATCAAGGTTTTTTTCTGCCAGCAATGATGTGCAACTACCGTAACATAATATACTAAATATGCACTATACATAAAGTTACTACTGAAAACTCCTATCTACAAAATGGTAACTTTTCAGGAAAATAATAAAATACTCTACACTTTTTATAAGATAATTTGTTGTGATTTTATTCCTAGAAATTCCTTTATTCCTGGGCCATTTCAACTGTTCAGTTTGTCAAACTATAACACCCAATGCAAATGCAAAGGCAGTTGGTGTCTTCAAATTATATAAAAATAAAAACATCATGCAATAGTAATACAGTATGTTCCATATTATATGTAACTTTTTATATGCAACAATTTTCTACCCTAAACCATAAATCTCTAATCTTAACCTCAATAATCAAAAAGAATTGATTTTACCTTTTTAGATTTTTAAACTTTTTATGTATAACTTGATTGATCATTATTGAGTTGAACACAAACTATTATGATTATTGTTATTATAATTGTTTTTACAGCTTGTTTATTTTCCAATATTCAATCTCTTTTAATCAACACACACAAAAACAAACAAAAAATGTAGGTTAAATACAATGTCAAACTGGTGCTAATGTATTTAAATAATTGAAAATGCTTTATGCTAAAGTACTGAAATTTTTGCCAAATTGCAGAACTGAACTTTAGATACTTTGTTCAACTCTAGTCCTGACATTGTGTATAACTCCTGTTTTACTCAGATTTCAATTCATTTCTCTCCTGGAAATGTACAAGAAAAGACAAACACACATTATCTGATAAGGTGAAGTGCTTTGTGGGAGTGCTGTGTGTGCACTCTCTGGCAGTCATACAGACAAAAGGCCTTATACTTGGAGACAGTGAGTCTTCACTCAGACATGCACACGGCCACCAGCTTTGATGTGCAGATAACTTGAACTTGTGATCAGCAGTGTTTCACAGACTGCTCAAACAGAGTGTGTGTGTGTGTGTGTGCGTGTAGTACCTGGTTGTGTCGTCTCTGTTCCTCCTGGAGCTGGTCTCTCTCTTGTGTAAGGAGACAAACCGCCTTCTGCAGCTCCCTGCATTCCTGCTGAACCTCCTCCACACGCTGCTACTCACACACACACACACACACACACACACACACACACACAAAAGGGTGATGACACAAACATTAAAGCTAATTCCACAAAGATGAATAAGCTCATCTTGTCAGTGACTACTTTATTGGGCAATATTTGCTATTTATTTATTACACTACATCATTTATTTGTATTACTACTATTACTAATAATAAAAACCGTCATCATTTTAATAATAATAATAATAATAATAATAATAATAATAATAAAGGATGCACCAGTTTTGGATCAAAAATTTTAACAGTTAAAAACAAAGATGTAATAAATACACAATGAAGCATCCAAATCCACTTTAACATTTTACACATATGAATGGTTTGAATGGTAATTAAAACAAGAAACAGTCATTCAAAATGGTGTTTGTTTCTTTGCTTTTTCTGCACCAATCACAGTCTGAGCAGCAGCATTTCAACAGTGAGGAGGAATTCTGCATGCCAAGTGGCTCATGCCAAGTATCAAGGGGGAACACAACACCCAAGAGCTTCTCCACTACAGAATTGATACCACTTGAAAGTTCCTGCTAGCACAGTGATGCCATCTGTAGCCACAAGTTTTGCAATGATGAAAAAAATTCACAAATGACAGAAGAACTAAAAATCAATGGAAGTTCACTGCCTTGGATGATCAGCTGTTCTCTATTGTTGAAGACATGGATGGCACATACTGTTACCATAATAATTTGAATAAGTTTATTTTACAAAGACTGTTTTTCATATATCGTCACCTTTTTCCATTTTCAGCCCAGTTTTTCCTAAATTTCAGTTTCGGGCGCAGCAACAACAACAACGATGAAACAAAAGAAGGCTTAATGCACCTACTAAAGGTTGAAAGAGTCAAGAGTTAGAGTTGAAGCGTAAAGATAAGTAGCTACATAGTAATATGTAGATTAGTTGGAATTCACATAAAAAAAGCATTATAAGCCTCTGTATGTACATGAAGAAGCTTGTTTACCTCCAGCAGTCCGGTTTTAGTGGTCACCACCAGTATATCAGAGTTCCCATCATCCTCCACAGTTAGCAGCTCCTCCCCTGTGGGTGTGGCCGGGCGGAACTGGAAGGGTGTGCTGGCTCCTCTGATTTCGCCCGTGTGGGTGACATAACAGAACTGATAAAACTCGCCATCGCTACGAGGAACATAGTAACCTGGGGAGCAAAACATCGACAATATTGTCAAGCAATAACTTACTTCATTTTATAAGCTTAACCAATAAAACAACACCCTTAAACACAATTTCATCCATGTTTTAAAACCTGCTAGTCATAAATGATGAAATTTCTACAAATAGTTCCTAAAATATTGAAAAATGAATTTTACAGCATGAATAGACTGATTCACAGAAATGGATGTGACTCGGTTACTAAGAACATTTGTGAAAATTGTTTGTGGTGTTAAGAACTGTACTGGTGCCGTAACAAAAATTATTCATGCCTCTTTATTGATGTATTGTGTGTGTGTGTGTGTGGGTGTGTGTGTGTGTGTGTGTACCCTGGAAGACGAGAGTTCTGTGGACGGTGGAGCTTTCAGTGTAATTCTCAGGCATGGGAGACCAAAGGAACGTGTAGTAGTCTCTCGCACTGCTCCAACCCACCTACACACACACACACACACACACACACAATATGAATGGTCAGAGATGGTCACAGTAACACATTACCATATTTTGCTTAAGTACATTTTTCCCTTTAATGGCATTTTTCTGAGTACAATAGCACTTTTACCTTAGTTTATTTCTAATAAAAAAATTCAACTTTGCTATTTTGATTTTTAATAACTGAAGTTGTCCACTTTTCACTATGCAACCTACCTGAGAGCGCTGGCTGGCTAACTAACTTAGCTAAACAGCTACTGTGTTCTTTCATGATTTTCATTTTATTTTGTCATTTTCAAATCTTGCAATAACAAGCATAACAACTCTTTATCAACCCTGAAGCTGTAGTTTATGTAGTATTGTGAATACTTGTTAGTTAGCCATTAGCTAATGTAAGCTAAGACTAGAATTGGATAACGACTTAGCTTAGGCTGGAAAAACCTTGATTACAGGACCTTCTCTCTGTTAAGTGAACATGAAGGATAGGAGCTTAGTCACTTAATAAGAACCTAGAACTTGTTACTTAGAGGAATGGTTTTTCTGCTTACCCTGGATGTAGTTGATCAGCCAAGACATGTTTTTTTGGAGCTATTAGGCTAACACTGCTAACGAACAACAGAAATAGTCACCCAAATGTTTACTATAAACACATTCTCAAAACTACTCTCAACCCACTCAGCGGTTTTCTAAAATGGCTGCCCACTCCATTCAGCTACTTGGTGAAGTGTTATATTATTTTATGTTTATAGTTTGCAGTAAGTAATGTGTACTGTGCTCTAAACTCTGCACAACCTTAATAAAGACCTGGATGTATGAAGTTTTGGGTTATGTACTTACAGAAAAGATTTGGGTTACTAGTGACTTCTAGTGGTTACTGGCAAGGTTAGTCTCAAAGCTATACTAAGTTAGCTATACGAAGTTCAGTTATACTAAAGAAGCAACATTTGGACACAAATTCCTTCAGGAAAAAGCTTACAGAACTTTTTCCACAATGCAAGCATGTGAAGATTTTAAAAAAGCTCCTCCTTGTCATCTATACTTGTCTGCAATTTTATTTAAAATAAATTATAAGAAATGTATAAGATAATATAACCTAAATAGTCAAGCAAAGCAAAAAGCACACCTAAAAAGAGAGAAAAACACTATTACAATGGCAATTTAAACCATATTACCATTATCACTCCATATATCAACTTATCAGATGCAGACAAGCTGAGAACATGGCTAGCTTTTATTTGAAAGCGTTTTTATCATATCCTGCTTTGCAGATTGTAAATCAGATTCTTGGAAACCTTTAGCTTCTCTCTTATGTTAACCAGCTGTTGAAGAGAGCAGTCTGTACACTACTAGCATGCATGTCATACAATAGAAAAAAAAGAAAAGTAAAGGGAAAAAATTAGTAAAATATTTCTAATTTTTGTATTTTATTCAAAAGAGGCATGTGAACAATTTGCATGGAAATGCAAACAGAGTGAATGCACCATGAGTGTGTGTGTGTGTGTGTGTGTGTGTTGGTTGAGCAACTGAATGATTATGTCTGGGTTTTAAACTCAGTGAAAAATGATTGAGTGAAAGTAGAGAGCATGTTTCAAGCCCAACCCTCAGTCATGAAAATGTCACATACAATTACATTTCACAACTCTACACACAGAAACATGCATACACACACAGTTTGGTACTGACAGTAATTTACCATGATGAATATACACGAATACAGAAAAAACACACCTTGACATTACACTGATGACAATATATCACCACTATCATTTACTTCATGGAAAACGTTCAACTTTCATCTGGAACGCAGCAAAATCTGAAGCGTAAATAACCAGATAATTACACAGCAGGAGACTCAGAGTGTGTGCTTGCACATGTGCATATGTGTGTCTATGTGTGTATGTTTCCCACAAGCCCTGCTTGTAGGTACAGGACTGATAAACGATGAATAAAATAATAAGAGGGTTGATGTGACCATCAATCAAGTGTGTGAGAGAACATTCCACAAGTGTGTGACAGCTTAATTACACAGTGTCTGTTCGTCTACGTGGTGCGCGTGTGTGTGCGCGCCTGTGCAAAGAAGCGCAAGAAAAGTGACAAAGAGACAGAGTACATGATACACGGTACATTTGTGTTACTTGAACATAACTGTTTTTTTCTTCAAATAACATAAATTGCGCATCAACAACCAAAAAATGATCTGTACTAAAAGAGTTAAACTGCACTCAAACATACAGCAGCACTGTGACACAGTAAGAAAAATAAATCTGATTTCACGTACACTGAGGCTCATGAGCCCTCACTAAGACAAGAAAAAAAGAGACAGAAGTAAAGCAAGCATAACTGTGCTGAATATATTTGCATATTGTTGGAAGAACTCTCTGAACACTCTTTCTCTCCTAACCCTCATCGCCACAAGAGGGAGCAGGTGGGTCACTGAGCAAACTGAAACAGTGTAAGTCTGTATTGACCTGAGTGTGTGTGTGTTTGTGTATTCTGGCCTTAAGTTTTGTAATCCCTTCACCATCTCAGGTCATAGGACCTCTGTTCCCATTTCACTGTAATAAACATTTTACTGAACCATTCACAGGGCTGGGCAATGTGACGTTATGCTATCATGACAAATTGTCACTATGTTTTCCTGAGTTTATCTGAGTGCATCATCAGCACTTTTAAAACTCTGAACAAGTGCATGTAATATAAAAGACAGATTTAGACCAATCACAGAGAGTCTATAAACAACAACTATTGTAGAGCAACAGCATAGTAACAAGTAGCTGATTGCTTTATCCTCCTACTGTTGTAGACAAGACCACTAGAGGCGAATCTCTAGACTGGGTCAAGACTGAGACCCGGACACACTCAGTCCAGTTAAGACTGATACTGTATTAGTCAAGTTCGAGTGAAGCCAGAGACCAGGAGTGGTGAGACTGAGATTAAGATTTTTTTTCAGAATATAAACATTAAAAGAAGAAAGTGGGGGGGGGATTTGTTTGTAGTTTATTGTACATTCACTATCATTCGAGACAACTTAATTTTTTCCAGAATATAAAAATAAAAAGAACAATGTAAAAAAAACTCTGAAATTTGTTTCTAGTTCACTGTACATTCATAGTCTTTCCTGATACATGATATATATTAAAGATCCTGTAAACATGGTTTCAGTTGTTTAAAATTCTGTTTTAATGGTGAAGACGTTGCAGAATAAGCGTTTACTAGTGTAATATTTTAAAAACACATACAAATAAAGACAATTTAATAGTAGATAAATACTCCAAAAATTCTGACCTGCTGCCTGCTTATAACTGGGTGGGCATGTCAGAATGACAAAAGATTGACAGTTGCATTACTCTGGCAATGTAAACAGCCCTGTGTGGTTCAGCTCTGCATGTCTGATTTTGAAAAACAAGAACCTCCCCACAGGAAAACTTTGCTCTTGTTGAACCCTCTCTGAATGGGGTGTAAAAAGTGCAAGCTGTCTAACAGACATTTGAAAGCTCTAGTTACATTTTGCAGTTCAAGAGCTTTCATCGGGTAGATCACTGACATATCGTGTGCGATTTTTGAATGCCCAGCACTAACATTATATCTGTAGCTTCTGGTTAGCTAGCAAACTGCTGGAGTGCGTTTCTGAAACGTCATATTTGCAGACATGTCATATTTGCACTTGTGGACAAACATCATGTTTGCAGTTGTGGAGAAATTTTTTGTGTGCCTTATTGTGAGCCACACCTGTAAAGTACAATTGCAGGGAAACACTGTGAGCCTTGATGTGAGGGAGGTAGCTATATTAACTGTATATATTTTATGTTTCATATATTGTATTTTATACATTACATCTTTTTATAGTTTATATCTGTATACATTGGATTTTATGTTTTGTAAAATTTAGCATTAAATAATACAGCTCAAAAATATTATTAACAATTACTTAATTACTAACAAATAATACCCAGTTAAGCCATCATGAAAATGATCATAAGAACAGATTTTATTTAAACAGGTACAGAAATTAATGTTTTATTCTGTTTAAAGGTTTTGTTGATATTCAACAATGATAGGTTATGGTTACCTCACATAGAAGCATTGCACACAGCTGATCTCAAGAACAATTTTGAGCCCACCTCACCCCATGACCAAGACAAGACAGAGTCAAATGATGTCGTGACCGAGACAAGACCGGGACCGTGCATTTATACTCGAGACCAAGATAGGACTCAAGTACTACAACACTATTTCCTCCCATTTAATAACGAAATACTTTATTTTTTGCAAATGTTGAATTAAAAACAAAGAAGTCAATGTGTTCACAGACCCCATTTATACCTGGCTGATCATGTGCCTTGTATCAGCATTATAACCTGATAAGATTTTAACCACATGTATTTATACTTGGTACTTAAATATGTCTCTGTTTACTTGGACTGAAATCTAATTGCTTGTAGGGCACGTATTATGCAAATTAGTTTGCATACAACTACTCATTGCCTGCCTTGCTCATCATTTTTCTTGTTCTAGTCACAAGATGTTTATTGCCTCAAAAAATTTGCATACCGTTATTTATTTCCTTACACTGGCTTTCCACTGGTGTTTACAGGAGAATGGCTGTTAGAATAATTAGCCTCCTGTATTAGTCATCGTGGTCATGGACCACGCAACATATTGTAGTGAGAGAGTGAATAGCGACGAGGTGAAGTAAAGATTAACCTAACTAGAGCTTTATTTTAACTGGCTCAGGCCACTGAAGGCTTCTGAATTACTCAGAGGAGAAAAGTCGAATGTGGGTTGAAAAAACGGATGCAGTAACATGCAAAATTTTGGGCACCCCTGGTCAAATGATTTATATATCATAATGATATAAAGTGATAATAAATACACATAATATCATAATGATATAAAGTGATAATAAATACACATTCTCTACAAAGAACACACTTCTATACATTGTAATGCACAATTAAGGTTTATTGGCTAAATTTAATGCATTGGCAGAAAACTAAAAA